TCAAATTAAAAACAAATAATAAAAAAGTAACCCTTCATCTTACGCTATCCTCCAACACACATTTAATCAGAGCGGATGAAGATCACAAATTAGATTCTCTGATTGCCTTCTCTGCTACACTGCAGTTTCACCAACATTGCATCTGGTGTCATGACAAGAAAAGAGAAGATGGTAAACATCTCTGTGCTTCATAGGTAGATAACTGAATTAGTTTGATTTAATTGTTGTTTATTATCTGATACAATCCTTGATTCATCAGATTAGTTTTTAAACTAGCTTAACCTTTAACTGAACTGTTGGCAGAGCAAAAACTCCTGAAAACCTAAAAACATGCAACGTCTTCACAGGCAGTTAGGTATAATAAAATAACATGTCAAAGAGGAACAAATTAAAACATTTACACATTTAAATGTAAACCTCACTTCAATTCTAATTGAGCTATCCCATAAAATACTGTACTACTGTATTGTTTTCAGTGTAATACGGGACACAAATGATTTCCAAATCACTATTTTCAAATTTAATTTTGAATTTACCGCCCCATCTTTTTCTGATTTGAGGTTGTAGGTATACCCTGTGCACACCTGAATGGAAGCAACAATCCCTTTTAGTTACAGTTAAATTAGTTTTATACGGTAACTTATAATTTATGAATCATTAATGACGTGGAACGTGCTTCCAAAGTTATTGACTGATTTTAAAGTGGCTATATGTGAACTGCTGTCCTTTAGGTTATATGTATCTTATAAAATGTGCAGCCACCTAAAGACTTTTCTTTGTATCATGATGTTTACTTATTTCTTTCAGTGTGGAGTTCCAGGACTTAACCGTACTCAACATAACATACGTATACATTTCCCAGCAACTTGCCACAGGTGTTCTGTGGATCTAGTCTGCCTCAGTGACCTCTGTCTCTTCTTGTGATCCATGATGTTCAGATCAGGGCTCTGCGTGGGGCACACATCTGTTGTAGGACTTCTTGGTTTTCTCGTCACTGATGACAGTTCTGTATGACTCTGGCTGAACAGCTGGGCTCAAAGTCATATTGCAGAAGGAATTTGGGCCTGATCAGATGCCTCCCAGCTGGTACTGTCTGATAGATAAGAATCTAAATATCTGAATATGTCCTAAAACCGTTGCACAATACTCTTTATATGTTTCGAATTTGCACCGTTTGCTTCACCAAATCAGCCTTTGTGAATTAGTAGTCTCCCTATATCACATATCCATATTTTAATGAGACTTTCACATTTTGAAATCATTTTAAATCATTATTTCTCCTGGTGGCAATTTGTCAGTTGTAAATTTTAAAGAGATGTGTCTCTCAGCACTCTAGTTAGCTAGATAATGTAATTGCAAACTACAGGTTTAGATTCATGTTCTGACATTACCTCTGTTAGCGATCAGAACCGGCCCTCAGGTTACAGGACTCTTGGCTGCAGCTAATTTGTATGACAAATGACCCACCATTTAAACTTCTCTCTTGCTTAATGTTGCCAGCAGGTGTGCTGTCAACACAAACTCTGTAGGGACAGTTTTACAGCACCTCATCATTTTCTCACCTTCTCCCCAAGGCTCCTAATGGAAGTGGAAATGTGTGCTTTAAAGTAATGAGGCTGGTTGTAGGCTATTTAGCCTCACACAGGTAAATGTGCTGGAACCAGGGCAGCAAGAGAGCTGCAAATATATAATTTACAACATTCAACCATCTCATTACATGGCTGTTATCTTATACATGACACACACACACACATACTCATGACACTCATATGGCAGTAAAGCCACAGGGCAAGTGTCCAGTGTCACTGTGTTTCCTCTAAAAGCAGGTGCAGTGTCAGGCTGTGTAGGTGACGGACAGATGACAACAATGTGTGTGTCTTAGACGATGAAAATGTATAAATTGCTGCCAGCTGCCAGAGGGAGTTTGAACATTGTGTGCATGTGTAATAGTGTGAGGACACACAGGTAGGTCACTTTGGCAAGTTACACATCACTTCTAGGTTGGTGAAGAGCAGAAGCAGACAGAGATGTGCAAGTAGCTACTGTAGAAACAGCAGGAAGGTAGCACAGATACACTTAAAGCACTGACATGTCATCACAAGTTCCAAAAAATGCAGTGTTAAAAAAAACTAACAGCTGACCACAAAAATAAAACTCAAGGTCTACTTACTAGATAAATTTTAGAGCTTGTAGTCACATCACAAGGCCCTCATCAGCAGAGGGAGTTTGCTCAGTCATCAAGCAGGGGAACTTTGGTCATGTGATGACTGAACAAGTCCATCAACTGATGAAATCCACATAATGAGGAGGAATCCTGGGGCTGATGTCAGAAATAAAACTTCAAAAAAAGGTCATTTGAATTTTGAAAAGGCCAAAAAATCTCATGTCAACCAAGTATTTGTCATAAATCAAAATAGTGGACAAAAGTCACTGGGATTCAGTGTCTGGGGATCGTGAAAGGGCGTAGGAAATGTGGCGGCAGCTTTTTCAGTGACTGCTTTCCATTGCAGTGCTCGCACAGTTCTTTGTCACTATTAAGTTAGTGAAGAAAACACAGGTTTATTTATATTCTCTTTAATATATCTTAAAAAATGAATATACAATCTGAGAAAGAAAAGGTTGAGGATTTGAAGAACAGGTTGTTTTTATTCCCTGACCCATAGATGAAGTTCAAGCAGAGACACATCCCAATAGCATCCTGGGGTGCAAAGAAAAAAAAGGAAAAAGAAACACTGCTAATTGCCAAACTGAAGGACATATGACAAGGCGTCCAACAGGAAGCTAAGGTCAGAGTATTAGTAAGGCTAAGATAAAGTGGTGGGCTACCATATCCTAGAGGCAAACACTACTATGACAGGTACCTGTCACAGTAGTTACACAGGATGGCTTCATATCAATAGGCAGTTACATGAGCCTTCAAGGTCTGAAAGGATCAAATGCCATGGAATGGCCACATTCACATTTGCTTTCAATTGACATGGACATATTTGTCATATCCTTAGGTCTTTTATTTGGCAGAGGCAAATATCGTCTGTTCTGTTGTTGTCACTAGGAAACCAATAATAATTTG